TCCATTTTGCTTTTAACATTAATGTCAAAAAATGCTTTTTGGAAATATTGTGGATATTAAATTTTATTTTATTTTTTAATAAATTTAAATCAGCCGATTTGATGTAAAAAAAATAAATATTGAGATAAATGAAAATGTAACATTTTCTCTCTCTCTCCACATATACATATTTACATATATATACACAGAGAGAGAGAGAGAGAGAGAGAGAGAGAGAGACCTTAACGTTTTTAAGGCATCACTAGTTTTGTAGGCAGTTTCAGAGCAATCCTGTCCATTGTGATACATATGTATTATAGATATGCCTTTGAGAATCTTCTACCTTATACCGCAACTACTTATCAATGATTTCCCCCTATTCTTTATTAAAAATGTCATGTCATTTGATATACAATAAACAATGTTGTCTATGAAAAGTTAATCCTTCAGTGCTCACTGACATTTGTCTCTCCTCTATTCGAAGACTTTCCCAAGAAACCGCTTTACACTTGATGGTTACAAAGTGCTGACACTAGAGTCTCGCTCCATCAGTGTAATTTGTTACTACAGAAAGGATAACATTAAAATGAGTGCCTTGCTGTTACAAAATATGAATCAAGGACCTTCTGACCAATTAGAATCCAGAACTCAACACTCTGTAGTAAAGAGTTGTGATAAACAGTGACAGATTTTCAACTAAATAATGCCCAACAAAGTCTTTACAAGAGTCTCTCCAAAGCTTATATTGTGCTCCTCAGAAAATTTGCTAAAAAAAAAAAAGAAGCACACTATTTCTACATGTGTTTCCTATTTTGTAAATCTGTTTATACGTTTCATTTGTGGACAGTTTGATGAAACTAAGACGGGCTTCGTTGACTGAAAGGATATAATGGGCGTGGAGGTATAAAGTGTGATTATAGTATGTGAGGCTGAATTACGCTGTGCTTTAACAGCACACGACGAGTTTCAACATTAATGCTTGAGGTGATGTCATGGTTGCCATGGTGCCTCGGCTATTGTTCGTCTGATTGGTTTGATTTGAAATGAAAATATGCGAGCGGGAAATGAAGGTGCTGGGTGCCACGCAGCTGCTGCACACAAACTGCGCTTTCAGGCTTATCAGGGAGGGGCTGCCTATTACTAAAACCCTACAGTGATGTTACACAATAAACTGTAAACTGTTTTCAGATCTGATTATCACACGCAGGCACACAAACACACACACACACATAAACCAGACTTTCCAATAACACGTGCACTAGAAGCAATTGATTCTATTATGTCAGATGTGTGTAATTTGTGTGTGTGTGTGTGTGTGTGTGTGTGTGTTTTGAAGTGCTGCTTGCTGTTTTGCTGGCCCTCAGGGCTGTGCTGTTCTAAACAGATGGGATGTGGCAGGGTGGAGCAGAGCTCCCCTAAAATTAATCCACTCAGACAGGTGTGTGTCCGAGCGCGTGTGTGTGTGTGTTGTGGGTGGCGCTATGTTCTGCTTTTTCCAGTAATTGTTTTTGACAAGTTGATTTCTGTCTCTGAATGTGTGTGTTTTTTGAGAGAAAGAGAGAGAAAGAGAGCGTGAATGTGTGTGAGTGTGTATGTGTGTGTGTGTGAGAGAGAGAGACAGAGAGACAGAGAGAAAAATAGAAAGAGACGGAGATAGATACAGTCTTGGATTACGCTACCTAGCTGAGTACTCCTGTACCGCCTGATGCTCCTCACCATTTCTGCAACTTTATGCTGAGAGAAAAAGGAGAAGAAAGAAAGAAAGACAGACATCTTGAAATTTCTGAAAATAGTCCTAAAACATGACTCACTACAGATCTGCTGGCAAAACAACAGGGTGTGCACATGCGTCGTCACTCACCATCTTCTCAAAATTAACCAGTTCCCCATGGAAGGTCTTACAGCTCTCATGAAGGAAAGTCAGATCTACAGGGGAAAAAAAAAAAGAGATTGAGAAAAAATACAAAAGCATAATAAGGCAATGACAGGTCAGCACGTGCTTAGGCCTCCCTCTCTCTATCTCTCTCTCTCTCTCTCTGCAGAACACAAGCATGATGCACACACATCAGATGAAAGAGTAGACTACAGACGGATTAAAAGTGCGATGGCTATAAAGACACTCGAGATGCCATGATCAGCTCAGTCTCTTCAGCTACACTATTCACTATTCTGCAAAAGCGAAACAAAAAAATGAAGGCCAGAAGAACATTCCAAGACAAGCCAATGCATACCACCAGACACGAATATCTGAATACAGGTGATTCATTACAGAGAGCAACATCGAGACAGACAGAGGGGTTGTTTAGGTCATCCTCGGATATCTTCGTCACCCCGCATGGTTTCGACAGTCTGGAGCTGGTAAACAGGCATTAAAAATGCAACACCCAGGCACAAACATAACCTCAGCAAGTTCCCAAAGGGACAACATATCTGGAACAGCCACTAAATTTATCAACTGAAGGAGCTGAATGATGAACAGTACAGTGAGACTCTAAAGTTACACGTTACAAAATATTTCTGTTCATAAAAGACTATTTTATCATTCATTGGTAATACAGGTGTAAGAGTCTGGGATCACCATACCTTACTGGGAACTACTAAATGATATTAATAAATAGAAATAATTTGGTCATTTGAACTACGCGCCACAACATGCCACGGTCAACCGCAAAACTTTTGGCACCTTTAGAAAACGAGGCGCAAATAAATCCATCCAACCATTTTCTGTACCGCTTACCCTACACAGGTTCACAGGGAGCTTGGAGCCTATCCAAGGGGACTTTAACGGACAAGGCGGGGGACACCCTGGACGGGGTGCCAACCCAACACACACACACACATTACAGACAATTTAGAAATGCCAATCAGCCTACAGCTCAAGTCTTTGGACTGGGGGAGGAAACCAGGGTACCCCCGAAGCACAGGGAGAACATGCAAGTTACGCGCACACAGGGAATAAGTGGGATTTAAACGCCCAACCCCAGAGGTGCAAGACAACATGCAAATGTATTCTTTATAAAATAAATAACACATGCAATGACTGAGATTAAAGAAACAAATTTTGACCTAAAATGTTTACTTACACAGTTCATTTTCTCTGTTATTGGCACCACTACCATTAACATTTGGTTAATATTTGATGAATCTTGGCAACAATCATAAATCAATTATTAGTGATTATAATTGCTAATAAATTCATTATTATCAAAAAAGGACAGTCAACCGGTGTGTACAAAATAATTCTCATTTTTAAACTGATGTGTAAATAGACTAGGAAGATGATTTGTCTTGAACTTGATAAATATTACCATCTCTATGTCATCATCATTTGCGATTTAATGGTAGGCCTACCCTAGATTCTGAACAAAGCTGCTCACGTATGAATAGGATACTAAATATAATCATCATAGCAGATTTAGTGATCAACAAAAGTGAACTCATTAAGGTTTACTCAGGGTTCTATCCCTAATGCAGGAATTCAATGGTGATAACAGTATTTGAAACATCATTTTGTGGAAAAGTGAGAAGTGTGAAGAGACCTAATGGGCAAGAGAAAACTATTTCATAAAAATGATCAGGAAGGCTCACATGTGAACAGATTCATTTCCCCCAAAACATCATACGGAAATTACTGAGCCAAATTGTCTCCAACACACCCTTTGAAGAAAAAATAATGCATGTATAGAAATGTAAAATTCCACCAACTCTATTGAATTGCTTTGTCTGAACACAAACGTGTGCATAGCGATTAAAAGGCAGAACGTGACCGGTACATGTTAATAAAATCTCTGAAAATGACTAAAAACTCAGACGCAACATTTAATTATGTACCTTCATCACAATGCAGACTTAAAAGGTTACTTGGAAGTTACAATAACATGGTGAAAGAATACATAGTACCCAGACATCAAAATAATAATATTTAGATAATAACAGATGCAAGAATGTGTGTAACCAGTATTATGTCTGTTCGCTTCTGTCAACGTTGAGCTCATATCAGAGTTTGATGGTAAAGTTGAACTGACAGCGTTCTGGAGGAGAGTCACCAGGGGCTGAAGGGGAGGTGAAACAAGTAAGAGGCACAGCAGCAGTTAGATTGGACTGGGAAGAAGAACGAACAAGAAGGGTTCCGCTCAATGCATGAGTTCCTGGAGGCGTGACTGTTGATTATTATGTTTTCCAGAAATCAGAAACATCACAGTGTGTGCGGACACTGTAACGAGAAAGTCGTGTGAGCACAGAGTCAGTGTTAGGGCTCAGCGGGGCGTGTGCTCCGAGTCTGGCTTGCACAGCACATGGAGAACAGAAAGGTGTTAATTAGCCTAGCTGGGTGCCTGGGTTGCTTTTTAATCTGGCAGTGGCAGGGCTGCCTCAGCAGGACAAGGCTTTATAGAAGCACATCTGGACAAAAGCTGCTTCTTGACTACGTGTGTAGATAATGTGTTTGTGTGGTGCACACAATGTACAGTAGTGTTTATGAGGCACATGTGTAGTTGTGTAGATGTGTGTACAGATGTCAGTTTTACGGATGTGTGTTTTCAGTCTCACCTTTGAGAAGTAGTGGGGTGAAGGGGATGAGTGGAGCCCTCAGACTGGCCAACAGGTCCCTGTATGACTTGTGATTCCTGGAGGGATCCTGAATAACACACACACACACACACACACACACCACACACACACCGAGGTTACAAATGAGCTAGATTTCTAACCTAATGCTGTGAGAACTCGATATAGTACACGATTATCAGATCCAGTTTCTCTATACAAATACTCTTAAAAATTGACGCATTCAAAAGGTTGAAAATGTTTAAAGATTATATGATCCATTTTTAGTTTAAGTTTATTAACCAATAAACCTTAATCAAGACACCTGTGACTTGATACAAAGGAACACATTTGTTTTCACATGTGTGTGATGGCCTGGGAAAACTAGTCAGGTGTTGTTGTGGCTGGATTCTGGCGAACAGCCTAAAACTTTGGCCAAAATAGCTTTTTCTGTCTCCAAGATACTTTGACTAGGTTCCCTGATGGACTAGTGGCTAGCATGCGGCGCTTTCATAGATCGAATCCTAGGATCGATTTCTGGTCAGGGAATCGACCCCAGACACTGGAGGGTTGCATGAGCCAGCGCACTCAGTGCCGTTCGCAAACTCGGAAAATAGGGAGGGTTGTGTCAGAAATGGCATCCGGCGTAAAACCTGTGCCAGAATCAACATGCGGAGTGATCTGCTGTGGCAACCCCGAAACAGGAGCAGATAGAAGAGGGAAAGATACTTTGACTCCTCAACTTTAAGAAACTACAAATATATTTCACCAAAATGAGTTGGAAATTGCCTTTGGTGTCTATCTGCGAAGACCATGATGTGCAACAAAACATTGCTAATTAAGTATGTTTTTCATCATACAGCAAATATCATGCTTTCATCAAGTCGGTTTATAGCTACGTGCCTTAGGGAAACACAAATGAGCATAATCCATTCAGTTTGTACTCAGATATGGACTGTGAAAAGGCCTGCGATGCTCCTACACTGCAGCCAGAATGGAAGCTTTAAATGCAATTTTCTCCCTTTTCACTTTCAGAACTTGGTAACTGAAAAGGATACCTGACCATCATACCCATATGTGACTCTTCCCCAAACTGTTGGCATAAATTTGGAAGCACACAACTGTATAGGATGTCTTTGTATGCTGTCACATTACAATTTCCTTTCACTGCAATTCAGAGGCCCAAACCTGTTCTAGCATCACAATGCCCATGTGCACAAAGAAAGGCTCATGAAGACATGGTCTGACCTCAACCCCACTGAACACCTTCAGGATCAACTGAAACGTCAGGCCTCGTCCAAGATCAGTGCCTGGCCCCACAATAGCCCTTTTAACTGTATAGGCACAAATTCATACAGACACTCCTAAATCTTGTAGAAACTCAATATTCATGCCCATGGTTTTGGAATGTGATGTCCAACTAGCTCATATACAGTAGGTGTGATGGTCAGGTGTCTACATACATCTGGCCAAACAGTGAAACAGTGTAGCTCCTCTGGTTTAAAGTGCTGACTACACAGAAATGTACAGGATGATATATTTAGCACCTTCCTTTATCTTAATTGCTGTTTTCCTAACTTCTTCTAATGGACTTCCCTGTTAGTAAGTATCTATGGAGATGTTACAAAAACATCAAACCACGATTATTTTTATTGCTGTTTAAGCAAACTAATGTGGAAGTGCCTCAGTGACCTCTGTGAGAAGGCCCAGTTGTGGTACTGTGCATGTATAATGAGAGGCATTTCAAGACATTCAAATACAAAGGCATTTAAAAAAAAAAAAAAGGGGGACTTACATCTGTATGACAGACTTATATCTGTAATCTGTATGACTGAATAACTAAGGTATGTGAGTAATATGATGGCTCACCGCAGTGCTCTCAAATTGCTGGAACTGCTTCCTGAACTTTCCGGGCAAGCCCTGCCGAAAACAAAAGTGCAGAGAAGATGGACGTCTCAGAAACATTCACCCCGCTCTAACACAAGCTATACATCAAGAGGAAAAGGTTGAAATGAAGGATTAATTAAAAGATCACTGTATAGAAATCGCAAGGTGTGTCCAAGAAGTGTTTCCTTTAAAAAGGTGCTGCTTAGTCAGTTCAGTTGCCATGGCTACAGCTAACAGGCACGGGCCAGGAATAACACTTGGATCTTGGCAAATGAAAGGAGGAACACACACACAAAAAAAAACAGTGTATGTACGAGTGTGTGTGAAATGTGAGTATGTCTTTCTATTCAAGCGAGTATGAGAGGAAGAGGGAAGAACAAGATACGAGAGAGCAAGCGTGTTTGTGACAGCGAGAGAGAGGGAAAATAGAGGCGAGAAAGTGAGGATTAGGTACAGGAAGAAAAGGGAGAGAAGATATAGAAGAAGAGGAAGAAAGGTGGTGCTCACCTCCCAGGTAAGGCGCAGACGGCTAACTGCAGGGTTGTCCAGTCCCAAAACTACAGCGAGGAACGACAGCAGGTCCTGCTGCTGCTTACACCTAAAACAAAACCCAGCAGATAGTTAGGACATGCTCTGAAAACCTGAAATCCAATAACGATTATCAGATAATTAGGTGATAATTATACGAGTACTACAGGCTAATTGCCATGCCTTTCCTAATTCATTGTGGATCAGCCACTAATAACAGCCAAACTAAATCCAAACACACATGCGTACACACGCATACACCAGTTTACTCACAGAGCTGCGATCTTGATGAACTTGCGCAACAGCTGCACCCTCTTAGGCAGTGATTGGCACTGCAGGATCTCAGTAGCGACCCAGTGCTGCACCTCGCTGCATCGCTGCAGTACCAGTTCGAGGTTGAGGGGGCGCCATCGGGCCTCCTCTCCATGGAACACATAACACACAAACTCCACCTGTTTAAACACAGAAACCCGGTTGGCACATGCAGTGATTTTTTTTGTTTCCTAATATCTGCACTGAAGGGTGAGGCAGATGTGGAGTACTGGAATGTGTGTGTGTGTGTGTTTGCTGTATGTGCGCTTTGTCTGACCTCGTGCACACAGCTGAAGAGCTCCCAGTCAAACACCACCAGCTGGTTGGCCACTTCCTCTGCACTCATGTCATGGAGTTTGCTGTCCCCCGGGGACCAGTGGATCTCCTCAGGCAGAGGCAGCTAATGTACACACACACACACACACACACACACATACACACACACACACCTTTAAGAACTCTCCACACATGGTGAAACTACAGGGTTGGGTTTGTGCTTATTTGATTCTTATCAACAAAGCAATTACACACACTTAATCTCTGATATGGAAATACTATGTATTGTCATTCAGACTCTCTGAAACTGGACAGTCTTTCTTTTTTTTTTCTCCCTAACTGTTCATTTTGAGTGAGTCTGCACCCATGATACACTCAGATTCCTGTTCTTGGTTAACAGGAATGGAACCCGATGTGGTCTTCTGCTGTTGTAGCTCATCCACCTCAAGGTCCGATGCTTTGTTGCATGCCGAGATGCTTTTCTTCCCATCACGATTATAAAGAGTGATTATATACAGTTCCTATATCCTACCTGGCAGCTTAAACCAATCTGCCCATTTTCCTCTGACTTCTCATCAACAAGGGGTTTCCACCCGCAGAAATGTCACTCACTCAATGTTGTTGTTTTTTTCTGCATCATTCAGTGTAAACTCTACTTGAGACTGTATTTTATGCATTGTGCTGATGCCACATGATTGGCTGATTGGATAACTTCAAAAATGAGCAGGTATCTCTAATAAAGTGGATAGTGTGTGTATAAGAGCTGGTCAAGTATTTTGTCTTAAAATTGCAGTTAAAAACAAAAATTATAGAAAAAAAATTAACTCCCAAATAAGTTTCAGACCTAAAAACGGAAAATGGAAATGAACTTCTAATATCTCGTCATCATTGATTGGGGCGCAGCTCTACAGTAATAGTTCAACCACAACGCAAACAAGGCTAATTCAAAGTCAAAGGCACTTAATTAGCAGCGTGTCAACTGTCATAGTTAATCAGAGCCTGCTGGTCCTTACTCATTTTTCATCAGGATGTGTTTGATTTTGCAGGTGACTCAGTGCAATGTTTCTCACCAGGCTCTCGAGCTCAGAGGGTTCGCAAGCGAACAGGTGCGTGTTGACGCCCAGAGTGGTGAAAACAGCCTCGTCACTGGGACGGAACACCGCCTTCTCTGTGTAAAAGAAAAACAAGAACCCGATTGTAGCACCATGTTAATGTTACATGAGCGAACTCAACCCACACCGATAAGCAAACCTAGACGTCAACACATCTCGCAGACAATCCGCTGCCCGCAAGGCTGTCACGCTGCCGTCAGCCGTGTTTCTTCTGATCTCTTACAGACTATATAATGTGCAACTGTGGCATCTACTTCATGGGGAATCTTTTCAATTACACATGCATGCACATTGTGTGTTTGTGATTTATGATCTGTATGTTTAAATCTGACCAAACTGTCTCTTTCATGCTTTCTACTTCCTGTTTTTTTGTGTGCTTGTGTGTGTGTTTTGTACAGTGGACTGATTCTTGGTTTTGGATCTTGTTCGGATCCCATTAATTGGAAATTGTTTCTTACAACTTCTCATAAATTGGATGAAAATTTGGTGGGGGTTTTTTTCTATATCCCCTTTTATACTTGGATCTAACATTCCGAGTCATTTTATGACACGTACCTCCAGATGAGGTGACCGCCACCAGTATGAGGTTGCCTGGTTGGGTCGGTTGCTCCTCGCTGTACTGGAGCTTTTCTCGCACCAGAGCCAAAATCTCTCCAACGCGGCAGGAAAGGCGGCTGCGGATGGTCACGTACGAGTGGTCGGGTGTGTATACCCTACAAAAAACTGCAGAAGCAAAAGTCTACTAGGTCAAAAAGCCCTTCAAACTTAAGCAAAGCAAGCTTTATATTACTTTGGAAAAAAAAAAAAAACGCAATAATAAGGTTTCCTCAAAAGTGCACAAAATCTCTCACTTTCAGAACCGGATGTCATTCCCACACTATTTTCTTAGCATGTTTTAGTTTAGTTTTCACTGCTATAAAGGTCACCAGTTCAAAAGTAACTGTTTCATGATCAATATATTGGTTTGCTGTCAACTCCCTGGTCTGGTCATACATCTTCACTATAAATAGGCCTCAGCGGGCCAGTGAGGTCAGCAGCTATTTCCCCTTTAGGATTGCTTATTGACTAATTGTTTAGCGAGTCTTGAAAGCACTTGGCTTGAGTCACATCTCTGATAACGTCATAGCAACTAATGAAGTCCAATAATCTATTAAAACAATCATCAGATCAGGCGTCCCCATGACTTCACTTCTGCCATGCGGTGTTAATTGGAACTCCTCCATTAGCAAATAGCTGGAGCTCCAATTTTAGCGTAACCTTTTTTTATTTTTAAGTTGTAAAAGTCGCGCAGTTAATTAAGCCGGCTGAACTCACTTTCATCAGAGCCACGGAAAGCCTCTCGCGGCTGCAGGCAGGCATCGATGCGTCTGAAGTGGCGAAAGAGCGGACGCACCTGCTTCTTCCGACTCTCCTTATCCTCCTCTGCCCTAGAAA